GTCGGTAACTTCAGATCGGCGCAATTAAATTTTAGCAACTCCAAATGACCAAAAAATCCAAATAAACCATCAAAAAAAATCAAAACATATTTCGAACGGCCCTAAAAAGAATTGAGAGTGACCCTTTGTCTAGCAGAAGCTGCAACTAAAAAACTGCATAGAAAGTTTCAAAAATCTAATCGGAAAAACTTGCATGATAAACTGCAACTAAAAAAACTGCAACTAAAAACGGTTCAGAAAATATCAACAAAAGCTAAAATATAATCAAGCAAAACGAATTATTTAGCATTTAAGTCGTTGTTTCCAATTGATATATGTAATCAAAAATAACTTGGCCAAATTAAATACTATGCCTTTTTGGAGTTTTACTCTATCCTTGGGATGCATTCTTCTCTCAGACGAATACCCAAAATACTTGAACCTATAATAGTAAATATACATCATTAATTATAAAAAAAATACCAAGAAATTAGCTTTAAAATGAAACACAGGTGACTGCTGTGAAGTAAAGCCAAACATTATGACCAAATCAACAAGAAAAAAAAACTATTTTTCTAAAATTAAAATACCCATCAATGAAAATAGTTTCGCTGCAGCACAAACGAAAGAAGTTTAGGATTAAAAAATGTAACAATCAAAAAGTAACAGACACGAGGAAACACATAGACATACACACTCACACACAAAAAATAAAAATCTTTCTTTATTCAATAATTTGCCTGCGTTCTACAGCAAGTAGTACATGAGAATCTGTTTCAGATTGAATTTATTATAACTTTAACCTATTGATACTTTTTCACTCGCGATTTAGTGTTATTGTTTTTTGTCGACTTGATGCGATTGCTCAATGTTGATCTGATACATTTTAGGTGAAAACCATTTCAGAAAAGCCTAATTGATTTCAGATTCTTTAATTGAAATATTTTTTGAAAATTGATGTTTGAAACTTTTTGGTAATGCAGTGTGCACTCTTCAGTTTTTTCTCACTGATAAATCAACTCAGTACGAGGTCATTCTGTGCATTCTGTGCATTGTAGGCGTATTCCGCAACAGGTTAAAATCAGATTTATTAAGGAATTCGTAACTTTTTTTTTATCTTCTTTGCTGTTTTATATATCACATACAAATACCTAAATCACTGTACCGCTCAAAATATAAGAATTTGCGGAATCCGCAACAGTGTTTGCGGATTCCGGAACAGTTGGTGGAATCCTTAAACAAATAATAAGACATTTGTATTGTATATTGTAAAAGCTAAAAAAAATTTGCTTTCCAAAAGGTGGAGGAAATAACTGGGAGAAGAGACATTCATAGTGAGCCTCTATGATTTTTTCAACTTCAAGCTACTTCCTCCACTTTTTTGAAAACAAAATATTTTAGTTTTGTTCTAGAAACATAATAAAGAAAACAATGAAAAAACCCATCTAACTTATTGGTTTCTGACAGCATCGTAAGATTACTCATACTTTTTTATATAAAAAAGGGTCTTTTCAATGCTTTGTGAGAGCTCGGAAAATCAATTTGGTCGACCTAAAAAAAGGTCGACAGTGTTTTCAAACTTTTTTTTGAAAATTCATCCCCCTTCGAAAAAATTCTAGATCCGCCCCTGATCTGTAAATCTAATGAGACAAAATTTTTATTATCTATACTTGCACATACACTAACTTGGTTGATTTGTGATCATTTTAGACAAGAAGTGAAATTGTGTTAACTTTCCGTAACACAGCTTAAATCCCGACCAAAATGACCAATAAGTTTAAGTTTGTTCTAGAAAAGTAACAATACTGCTCGTATCAGGGCAAACCCCTCAATGTTTCGACTGCCTTTTAAGGTTTATGGAGCAGAAAAACATTTAAAAAACAAATGAAGTTAAAAAAAATGAGTTTTTTTCTGAAATTTGAAATTTTTTATGAAAACCATCCTCCCACACGCCATACAAAATACAAAAGAATAGATTTCGCTCCTTGTAACAAATCAATAAAGGCAAATAAGCTTCTTTTAACCAATTTGGAACAATTTCTAAGATGGATTAAATCTCCGCTAACGCGTTAATAGCGCGAACTATAGTGCTGATTTAAATTAACCGGACAAAACGAGCTAAACTTCAAATTTAAAACGCGTTTTTCTCAAAATGAGTTGAGTTTAGGTGAAAAATTATGAAGACAAAACTTGCTTAAAAGTGGTGTAATTTATTTTGCAAAATTCGGGCCCAAAATTTTACCCCAAAAATGCGTCATTTGGCTTTTCTTAGTCATTAAAAAATTACGGCAAAAAATACGCAGTCGATCACAGACATAATTATATCAAAGTGAGCTCCTTACGTAGCCCAACAAACTTTGAGAGGGGTATATTCTCCAAAATATTGTAGAAGTTAATTTATGTTTGTTTGATAGACAAAAAAGGTCGTTTTTACTGTACAAAATACCAACTTTTTATTTAAAAACAATTTTTAAACAATTTGCAATTTTTTTTAAGAGAAAATACACTCCATAAAGTTTGTTGGGCTACTTAAGGGGCTCACTTTGATATAATTATGTCTGTGATCGACTGGGTATTTTTGGCGTAATTTTTGATTAACTAAGAAAAGCCAAAATGACCCATTTTTGGGGTAAAATTTTGGGCCCGAAATTTGCAAAACAAATTACACCATAATAATTCTGCTAAAATTTCAAGCAAGTTTTGTCTTAATAAGTTTTCACCTAAACTCAACCCAATTTGAGAAATAACTGGAAGAAGAGAAATTCATAGTGAGCCTCTAAGATTTTTTCAACTTCCAGTTACTTCCTCCACCTTTTTGAAAACAAAATATTTTAGTTTTGTTCTAGAAACATAATAACGAAAACAATGAATAAACCCATCTGACTTATTGGTTTCTGACAGCATCGTAAGATTACGCATAATTTTTTATATAAAAAAGGGTCTTTTCAATGCTTTGTGAGAGCTCGGAAAATCAATTTGGTCGACCTAAAAAAGGTCGACAAAGTTTTCAAACTTTTTTTTTGAAAATCCACCCCCCCCCCTTCGAGCAAATCCTAGATCCGCCCCAGATCTTTAAACCTAATGAGATAAAAGTTTTATTATCTACACTTGCACATACACTAACTTGGTTGATTTGTGTTCAATTTAGTCAAGAAGTGAATATGTGTTAACTTTCCGTAACACAGCTTAAATCCCGACCAAAATGACCAATAAATTTAAGTTTGTTCTAGAAAAATAACAACACTGCTTGTATCAGGGCAAACCCCTCAATATTCCGACTGCCTTTTAAGGTTTATGGAGCAGAAATAACATTTAAAAAAATGATTGAAATTAAAGAAATGAGTTTTTTTCTGAAATTTTAAATTTTTTATGAAAACCATCCTCCCACACGCCATACAAAATACAAAAGAATAGATTTCGCTCCTTGTAACAAATCAATAATTGCAAATAAGCTTCTTTTAACCAATTTGGAACGATTTCTAAGACGGATTAAATCTCCGCTAACGCGTTAATAGCGCGAACTATAGTGCTGATTTAAATTAACCGGATAAAACGAGCTAACTTTCAAATTTAAAACGTGTTTTTCTCAAATTGGGTTGATTTAGGTGAAAACTTATGAAGAAAAAACTAGCAGGATTAATATGGTGTAATTTGTTTTGCAAAATTCGGGCCCAAAATTTTACCCCAAAAATGCGTCATTTGGCTTTTCTTAGTTAATAAAAAATTACTCCAAAAAATACCCAGTCAATCACAGACATAATTATATCAAAGTGAGCTCTTTACGTAGCCCAACAAATTTTGAGAGGGGTATAATCTCCAAAATATTGTAGACATTATTTTATTTTTGTTTGATAGACAAAAAAGGTCGTTTTTACTGTATAAAATACCAACTTTTTATTTAAAAACAATTTTTAAACAATTTGCATTTTTTTGGAGAAAAAACCCTCAATAAAGTTTGTTGGGCTACGTAAGGGGCTCGCTTTGATATAATTATGTCTGTGATCGACTGGGTATTTTCGGCGTAATTTTTTTTGATTAACTAAGAAAAGCCAAAATGACCCATTATTGGGGTAAAATTTTGGGCCCGAATTTTGCAAAACAAATTACACCATATTAATTCTGCTAAAATTTCAAGCAAGTTTTGTCTTAATAAGTTTGCACCTAAACTCAACCCAATTTGAGAAAAACTCGTTTCAAATTTCAAGTTAACGCGTATTGTCCGGTTATTTTGAATCAGCACTGTATATCGCGCGTTAATTGTCCCAAACTGGCCAAAATGGCTATCTTTAAACACCCATAATTTTACGAAAAATGATCACAGGTGAAATATTTTTTCAAATTTAAGCTCAGGACAACAATACCTTTTGAATGATATTTTAAAAAATTCCGTCAAAAATGGCTAGTTAAAAAGTCGAAATTTGTCTGAAGAAAAAAACCCACCCGAGCACAAATATTCCGTTACTTTCGTATCGAAAGTCGAAACAATAAAGTAAACAATGAAAAAAAACCAATCTAAACCATTGGTTCATAAGATTCATTGAAATTTCTTTAGACATATTTTTTTAAATGAAAAGCATTTGATTTTCATAAAACATCGAAATTAATTCTGTTTCAGCTTTCAAGATTTTACTCCGAACCCGCCAAGGAAGTCAAAGTGTGTGACTGCTCTCAAAGTTAGTACAAAGTCTTCTTCTTAACTTCATAACAGCATGCGTGTGTAAAATACGGATTTCACTCGCTTCAATCTTGGGATCGAAGGGTTCACAATTTGTGGGTAAATGTGTAAGTAAACAACTAGAAATAATTTAATATATTTTGCAGGAGTAAATAAACAATGTTTGGATTGAACTGACGGTGGAATCAGTTAAACAACTTGTCAGTTTTCCTAGCATGCTTGGGAAAATATGGAAACTATGACAAAAATTTTGATTCTTCCTTATGGTGAGCACATTTCATGGGGTGAAAAGCTGGATCCTTCCGGACTCGTTTGCAATTATACAAAATCGAAAAAAGGACTATTTTAAAAGATTATAATTTTAACACCTGGTTAATTTGACACCAGGTACTAAAATATACTTAAAACCTGATTATCTATAATGAACATTAGGAAAACAATTCAAACTAATTAAGCAACAGCATAAAAAGATCAACTAAACTAACTTCAACAATTTGGTTCAACAAGCTATACAAACCTTATCACATAGAGGAGACAGAGAAATTTTTCGTAATTAGGTTCAAAATTAGTATGTTTAACTGTTCAGTTTCTTCATTTTTAGGGTTAATACTCCTTCATAGACAGCATAGGAAAATTTGTCAATGAAATCCAATAATTTTTCTTTAGTTCACCCCTTTAATTTTCTTGCTCTCAGTTTCTTCGTGCGATTTCTTCGCCACTATTGAAATCGTAGGCGCAAATAACAAAATAAACTCTTTTTTTTCTTGTTTCTTTCCTTTCAAGATTTTCCTCTTCACTCCTTTTCGTCCTTGACTCTGCTTGAAAACATGAACGAATTTCCGGCTTGGTGTTTGGTTGAAATCTGACATGACAGATAAACTAACAGTAGCTGGATTGCAATGGTCACAAAAATAGCCACTGATATCCACACGCCAAATTCACTCATCAGCTGAAAAGAAAAAAAAACATGAGTTTTTTTTTCAAAATGCGTCTTTAAAATTATTAAGATTTTTTTGAGAAAAACCAAAAAATCATTTGGGTAAACTTGAGTGAAGACCATCTAAACGGAAAAGTTAAAACGGGATAAAGTTTATTATCACTCGACGAAATTAAACTTGAGTCGATGAAATCTATTGACAATTTCGCAAGCATAATCTTCTCAACACGGAATCTTTATTAAATCATATGTTTTAATAGCCTCGACCAGCTTTTTGTATGATTAAAGTGGCGTATGCAGCAGATTTTGGTTAGCCTCGACAAGTTTCCATCAAATTTTCTTTTTAGAGAAACTGAATATTTTGAGCAGAGATTGACTTATGTTTAGATTTAAAAGGAAATTTTGGTTTAGGGTTTCAGGACGTAAGATTAAGTTCACGATCAAGAAATTTTTAAAGATAGCTTTTGAACAACTTTTGTTTTCAATACGGAATTCTTAGGCCATCTAAATAAGTTTGCTGTGCTACGTCTGCTGAAATCACGAGTTCTGAACCTGACTTTCAAACAAAGCTGAAGAGCCAATATTATAAAAAATAGCAAACAAGACTGCTCGTATCTGGGTGAAGCACTGAATGTTACGACTGCCTTTTAAGGTCTAGAGAGCAGTAATAACTTGAAAAAATTAAAACAATAAAATAAAACAAGCATTTTTTTTAAATTTGAGTTTATTTTTGAAAAAATCATCCCCCACACACCATAAAAGCTACAAAGTGATAGATTTTGCTCCTAGCGTCATATCAATTATGGCATATAAGCTTCCTAACAAATTTGGAACGATTTCTTTGACAGATTAAAGTTCCGCTAACGCGTAAATAGCGAAACTATATCGCGCGTTAATTGTCCCAAATTGGCCAAATTTGCAATATTTAAAACCCCATAACTTATTATCAAAATTGTAAATAGAAAAATTATCAAAAGTGAAATATCTTTGAAATTTCAGCTCAAGACACCAGTAATTTTTGAATGATATAAGCAAATTCCGTCAAAAATGGCTAGTTAAAAGTCGAAAATTTTCTGAAGAGAAAAACCATTCCCGAGCGCAAACATTCAGTTACTTTCGTTATGAAAGCCGGGACAAAAAGTGGAACAGACAGATTTATTTAAAAAGTAATCTGTCATCTTCGAGCAATTTTTGCATGCAATTTTGAATTTTAAGGTGGCCTTGAGATCTAATTTTTATCTGAAAAATTAGCTTTTGCATGTAAAAATTGTATGAAATACAGTTTTGATTTAAATTATTTCGAGAAAACGAACAAAACTTGATTTTTCAAACGCTATTTTCTCATAGAGTTAATGAGGCGCAATTTTTTTCCGAATTTATCGACCAAAATTTTACCCCAAAAATGTTTTTTTTTTTGCTTTTTTAATCAATCAAGTAAAAATATAAAGCACCAGAAGCCTCTAACACCGCCCAACAAAATTATAAACAACTAAATCTCCAAAAACTTAAGCAGATGTTTAAAACTTGTTTTTAAGCAAAAATTTTGGGTTTCATAAAGAAAAAATCACATTTCTTGACTATCAAGCAAAAACATTTTCTCTTATACTGGTTTTTGGAGATTTAACCCTTTTAAAATTTTAGAAGTTTTTTTCCATAATCTTCCTATCAATTAACACGTTATTTTTAGCGTGTTTTGTTGATTAATTAGAAAGGCCAAAATCAGGGGCGGATTTAGGGGGCGGGGGCGAAGAGGGGCGGACGCAACCCCCCCCCCCCCCTCCCCCTCAGGGATTCGATTCCCTGCCGATTTTTGGGGTAAAATGTTGGTTGAGAGTTTCGGAGAAAAAATTGCACCATGTTAATTCTGGTGAAATTTTGTCTTTTGTTAACTTAATTTGAGAAAAACGCGATTGAATTTTAAAATTTTGTTCGTTTTTGTTCAAATTCAAATCTGCTGAGTCAAAACTATGAAATCAACTGCATGAAATCAAATCTGAGTTTCAACAAAAAAATTTCTTTGTTTTTTTGATTGAGTAAAATAGGCTACATTTATAATCTTGCTGAATTTTTTTTTTAGAATTCAACTTAATAATCTAATTTTGAATGACACGCGGTTAGATTCAAAATCTAACTTGATTATGGTCATCAAATGTCCCACTGGGAACATACCTGATTTAGAGTGTCGTAGCACCCCTCTGTATGAAGTCCTGGTGGGGGAGAACCAATGTAACATTTATCGAGGTCAGCTGAAGTTGGTCTCACCTAAATAGTAGAACTTTCCTTTCATCTTTTTAAGCCAATAAAAACATTGCTCGTTTGAGACATCCAACAATACACCATCCTCCTTAGGCGGTCGATTCGGAACACCATACATTGTTTGGCCTTGGGTAATTTTGTAAGGCATTTTGAATCTTTGTTTCCGAATTTTGACAGTGCTTGCTGACTAAATATGTTAGAGCAACCTAATTTTGAGCCTGTCGGGACAATTGGATGCAACTTGTTTTCTCGTATCAAAACTGCTAGAAGTGTCAGGATGTTGTTTACCGGGTTGACTAAATAGTTTGAAATTTTATCAAGTTAATTCTATACTTGTTTATGGGAAAAAGCCAGTCATACAAATTTCATACGATTTTCGATATCAAAATTTTAGAGTAATCGAAATATAAATGTATTTGTCTGTTCTTTTAGCATGAAAGTCGTTGTATTGAAATACAAAAAGGTAGGATGTTTTGTTACTAAAACAATTCACACAGTTTTTATATATAAAAATTGTATGACTATCATTTTTTATGGACACCCAAAAACTGTTTTTAAGTAAATTTTCAAAGTTGCCCAAAAAAAACTTTCGTCATTTTGAAGCGCAAAACAAATTTTGAATCCAAACGGAAATTTTTTGCATGCAGAGTTTTTGGTGTGCGTAACGTAGTCCTGAGAACCCGAAATTTATATTTTTTGCTCTTTTTTCAGCTTTTTTGAAAAGCTCTCAAAATTTTTTTCTTTTTGTTGCATATATTGTTTAAATCTTCCTGAGTAGTAAAAGTTTATCCAAAAACTTATTTTTGATAAATACCATCTAAAAAAAACGTCAGCCAAAAATTTGAGGTAGGGTGACAATTCGTAACAGGCGACGATTCGTAACAGCCGCCAATTCGTAACAAGGCATTGGCAAGTAGAATACACTGGCTCCGCTGCGCTTACATCCGGCATGAGAAGAACACTGCAAGTGGATCAGTGTTTCCCGCTTATTATACTGTTACAAACTGTCGCGTGTTACAAATTGTCGCCCCACGAAAATTTAAAGGTATTTTCAATTTACTGTTGACACAGATTATATCCTCAACTTCTTCGAAAGTCGGAACAATACATTTTGTACTCAACGCTAGATATAGCGTTGGGGGTAAAATCTTTTGAAAAACTGGGAACATTTTCAACGTTTTTTCCCTATTTTTGGCAATTTTTTTATACTAGTTTATAGGTTTTAGAGAGATATCGAACCAATCAGCGCAATATATTTTGTTTTGACTTTCAAATCACTCGAAACCTTACATCAATTTATTTATACACTAGTGGGCAAGTTAAACGCAAACTCGAGATTTTGCTCTCTAAAATGACTCTTTTCATTGTCCATTTTAGACAAAAATTTCCTTCAAAATTTTTTTTTTTTACATAGTCAAAGGGCAAATCATCAGAGCCACCATCTGTGAAAATATCAACCTTTGGTTTCAAAGACTCATCAATTAATCCCGGGCCTGAAAGTACCAGTGTTCGTCATTTGCACTGAGTTTTGCATAGTGGTGAATCCTTTCTTGATTATTAGGAGCAAAAAAACCTTGTTCATGCGACGTGAAACATTCTCAGCGAGAAAATTGGAACAATCGGTGTGAAAACTTTACTAAACTTGAACGTTTTTTTTTTGTTCACGCGAAGTAAAAACTTAGAGCAAAGGAGAAATATGGCATTTTTAGAGCTGGATCACTCTGGTAATTTTTTGAAATCAAAGGTTGATATTTTCATAGATGGTGGCTTTGATGATTTGCCCTTGGTCTATGTTAATTTTTAAAATGACTTTCGAAGAAAATTTCGTCCAAAATGGACATTGAAAAGAAGGATCGTAGAAAAAACCCTAAAGTTAAGTTTAATTTTGTTCACTAGTGTATTACACGTTAAAGTAATTGAGTTTACTCTGAGAGCGCGGAAATTGCTTTAACTAAAAGAAAACTGGGAAAATTCAAAAAACATCGACAAAGTCTGAAGTCAGTAAAAATAACATTTTATAGGGTATTCATAACATTACCGGGCATTCAGATCATGATCTTCATTGCGTGCTTAATCATAAAAAAAACAATTCATTGATACATTTGATCTATTTTAATTTTGACTTTCTGAAAAAAAGTTTTAATGGGATAACAGAGAAATTAATTGAACAGGTGTTACAAAATTTTACTGAAATTTTTTTTGTTCGGTGTCAGTCATTTCTTTTTCAATTTTCTATAGTGCCATAAAAAATTTTAAAAAAACCCTAAACATTTCGAGTACCTTTTAGGGTCTATGGGACAGTGTTCGCTGAAAAACAATTTTTAAAAAAAATGTTTGTGTTTTTTTTAAATCATTACCGCACGTCATAATTAGAACAAAGCAGGGGTGGAGGATGGGAGGGAAGGGAGAATTCAGAGTTTCCAAAAATTCATGAAAGTTTTGTCGACCCGTTTTTTATAAGTCGACCAAATGATTTTACGAGCACTTCCAGAACACTATAAACCCTATTTTGATTAATATTTTGCGCCGCTTCCAGAAGACTATGAAGACCCTATTTTGATTAAATGTTTTGCGCCGTTTGAAAAAACAAGTCAAAAATTTTGACCAACAAAATGCATTTTTTCATCGCGCGCTATCCTTCAAAACTAATACATATTGGCGCCAAAGACGCTTTAAGTAAACATTTTAGTGTTGGTTGGTCTAAGCTGGATGTCATCAATCAATACCAAAGGGGGAACCCTTTGGTTGGTGAGATAGTCAAATCCCTGAAGAGAGAGAGCATCACGCCCCCCTTTACTAAATCCACCCCTGGTACACAGTGATAATTTTTGCTGCTAGTAACGCAGCAATATTGCGCATTAATCTTCCCAACTTGGCCATATTGGCGATCTTTAAATCCCATAACTTTACAAAAAATAATAACAGGTGAAACACCTTTCACATATGAGCTCAGTGCAAAAACACTTTTTGGATGATATATAAAAACCCGTCCAAAATAAATAGTTAAAAAATCGAAAATTGTCTGGAGAAAAAACAATCACGAGATCAAATACGCAGTCACTTTCTTCGAAATTCGGAGCAATAACATGTGCATATTTCAATATCGTAATAGTGTCACAGAAACTGACCAATCCATCTCTGATTTTTTCGATGCCGGGCTCTGGTGATATTTTGCAGCACGTGTAAGGATATTTCTGATGATGACCATCCACAGTGTTGTTCATCCTCTCCCACGCAGTCCCCACCCAATCTAAAGTTCATCACAAAATGTCATATGAATCGAAAAGTCATTTCAGTTTCTTTACAATCAGTAGGCCATGACAAGTCATAAAATTGAACGTGGCCAAAGGGGGAACGCCTTTTTGGCCTGTTTTTTTTTTTAAATTTGTCTGCGGCGCATAAATCAGGAGCAGATCTAGGATTTTCTCGAGGGGGGGGGGGGATGATTTTCGAAAAATTTTGTCGACCTTTTTTTTTAAGTCGACCGAATTGATTTTCCGAGTTCTCTCAAAGCACTAGAAGAACTGGTTTCGGCAAAAATTTATGCGCTGCAGACAAATTTAAAAAAAAACAGGCCAAAAAGGCGTTTTAAGTTCTTTTTAGACAATGTTGACCAAAAAATCTGAATTGTCCCCTAAAAATGTTGACCAAAATAGAAAAATTTTAAGGTCAGTCATCCAAAAATGGATATCCCAAAATTGTATACAGGGGGACTCTTTGGGTCGGCAGGAGGTCGAATCCTTGAGGAGGCGGGCGGGGGAGGGGCTATGATGAGTATGTTTATATATCTGGAAACTGTACGACTAGAATTCTCCTTAATTTATTAAAAAGGTTTCTTACTTTTCATTTATATCATTTAAATGTTGTGTTCGTAATCAAACTCAAATGACAAAGAATCTGATTGATCAGAACCCTTGAGTCGTTGAGGCGTTGAAGATGGTATCAATGCTCTTTATGTCCAAGAATTATCGCTGTTTTCTCAAATTGGTCAATTTTTCATTAAGGTTTTTGCCAATTCTATTGAAGTTTTTGACAACTTTTGTTTATGTTTAGACTTATAACTGTTTACTGGGAAACTAAGGTCTTAACCAGACCTTCACCTAAGTTTCCCTAGACAACAAAAAGAATTCAGTTCTTAAATCCATTTACCTACCCGCACTGAAGTTCATGGATATTAATCGATTTTTTGTTAGGTTTTAATTGTCTGTCTCCACCAAAATCAATCATAATTGATTGTAATCGATTAAAAACTGATTGTAATCTACTTTTTTGACAAATCAATGCGATCCATTTTAATCTGTACTGTGCTACTCGCCCCGTGAATCGTGCTCTTCCGACTGTATCTCACCCGTCAATCAATAATCGATCGCAACAACAATTCCAATAATAAGAATGAATTAACAAATGAATATATCCAAATACAGAGTAGCCTATAATTGGCTGAAATACAAATTAATCATTCAATTAAAGAAAGGGGTTCGCGATTACTATTATTTAAACCAACTGCCTCCTGCAGTTCAATTAACACCTCACTACAAACTAACGTCCTCCTCGAGAACTTCTTTCAATAAAAATTGTCTAACAACGATTCCGCTATCCTCTAGATAGCCTAACTAACATTCACTAAATAAACTACATTCACATTAACAAGTCTTCCAACTCGTTCTCTAACTAGCTGAGAACCAACTATTCGATTTGCTCGCAATAATTCTTCTCTGACGAGAACCAACTACTCTCAATGGTAGCGCACGACTGTTCTGACTCATAAAGGCTCTCCGGTACCCTCCAATTCCTTATCTTTCCTTACACTTAGTTTTAGTTAAGTCACGCCATTCCCTATCAGTCCTGACATCCGCCTAAATCACCCGTCCGCACATGTTTAAGACTATATCCCTCCCCCTGTCAAATCTGCCACATGCCAACTTCGGTTTCTTTTATCAATCTTTTCACACATTAGATACGCGGTATGCGGTAGCTGCCACAATTTGACCAAGCAAACAAATGTCATACAATTCTAATCAACTGATTCTTGATCTCTGTGAACTTCAGCCCTCGAGTTCAACTCAACCTCCAAACCATGCTATTTTTACTCAGTCTTTATTCACAAGGTCCTTATTTTAGTTATCGCGTTAACTTTTCGATCTCCCAAGGGTAGGGGGAGACCCTTTTTGAGGGTAGCTAACTAATTTCAGGCATCTTAATTTTCTATCTGTACTCTGTTCCAATCCCGACCTTCTAGCTATCAGGGGAACGTAGTTCGTCTGTTAGGGGTCAAATTAAACCAAAAAATCACCTCCGGAGAGCCAAGTAAAGTTCCCGTCCATTCAGATTATTTAGGAAACTTAACTCTCATGCCGCGGTCCTATTACTATCAATTTCCTCTGGGACTACTTTTCTTTAGTCTAGTTGAATTGCTATTAATAGATCATTTGCCAAGTTAAACTGAACCCAGTGTTTAGCAAGTTCACTTCGAATTAAATCCTCTACTCCAAATTTGTAATGTAAAAACTGTATCTCAATCGGCTTCTGCTCTACTTCCCGATATTTAGCCAGGGGTCAACAGGGGTCAAACTTCCATATTTGGGTTTAGAATCCCATGGGGGTCCTAACTACCAAGCTTCATTTATATCCCATTAATACTTCACAAGTTATACTTTTCAAGGGTCCATTATCAATTTTCCCGGGAAAAGGCTTTTAACACCGGAAGGAGTCGTCGGAGGGGTTTCAACCAGAAGGGGACTTTTTTGGGGACGAGCTGTAGTATCTGATGCCGCCATAAAATTGATTTGCCCTCGCTCATTATTTTGCGTAAATTGACTACTTCCGGTCTAAGGGGGTGTTTTTCCAAGTGGTAATAGCTTCCGGTCCAACCGCCGGATTTAGTTCAAATTATAATACAAGATTTATCTTGCCACTACCTATCGTCCCTCCAAGTTTCAGCTCCCTGCGATCATTGGAGGCCGAGAAACGATTTCCGGAAGTTAGGGATGGGTTTGTTTACTTTGGGCATAAAACGGGAAGTGGGATTCTGAGGAGTCTGGGTTCTCAAACTTAAGCTCCCCTTAACTAGGCCTACAACATACTAGAATTTGAGTCTACTCAAACTGCTAGTTTCCGATTTCTGATAGGGCCATTTACACTTCCGGGACCGTTTTCACTTGCCCCCCAAGGGTCTGAGGGGTCCCGTTTTTTGTATGCCCGGGTCAAATCATCCCTAGTATCGCTCCTCTGAGTTTCATAACATTAGCTTTCCTAGTTCCGATTTGGGGGGTTCGCCGATTTTGTCAAATTTTGTTTTCTGGCCTAGGAGGAACCATATCTTCGAAGATTGAACTATTTCGAACTTTACCATTTGTTTGCTCTACTGCTTAACTTATTGACGAATCAATCTTACGCTCAGGTTACTATGGCATGTATTACAGTAGAATCACCAGTTCTACAGTCTTCCCTTCTAGTCTATTATTCTCCCAAATAATAAAAAAAATAACTCCTAACATGGCTTAAAGATAAGTTACATAACGCTTCGCTTTGCCGTGCTCACTAACACTTAGTCGTTTCCCCTCCCTTTAAAGTTTTTTTCTTAAAGTTTCGCGGACCCAACAGTTAGTCCGCGTTAAATAAACAATGATACAGCACAAAGAGTAACCTAAGAGGGGACGTAACTGAATTAATTTTACTCTTCATGGTACGATCCAACCCTTTCACATTCATAATCATCACTATCAATTGTCTGCACTACAGTTCAGGTGGGATTGCACTCAATGTAAATAAGCACCAACTAATGAAATAAAAGAGACAGTCTACTAATGTAAATTTTAACTCACGAGAATCCGGCGAGTTCACACTTCCGGTCTCTCACCTCAAGTCTTCTACTGCCATTTCCATCTGTCCGCGAGGTGCCTGTAGTCCTGCTGCAGCACCGTCCAGTCACCTCCTAAGTCTTCATCCCTCACCTGATCGTCGGGTGGTCGCCAGCACTGCTTGGGGACCTCGCATTCAGATTTAACCCAGCCCCGGTCAACTTCATCTTCGCCGAACGACTCCACACATTTCCATCGATCAATTAAATTGTGGAAGTAGGCGGCCTTTGCATCTCTAGGCCCCACTTCCCTTCCATCGCCAAGCCCTTCTTGTTCTTCGTGTGATCGGCATCGCTTCGCGTCGCTGTCGACTACTTCGTCCACCTCTTGAACCACTGCAACTCTCTCTGTTCGGCCTCCTCCACGAGTTTGTCTCAAAGCTTCATCTAATGAAACAGGCTTTGGGCACCCGTACATTTCGTATTCCTCTACTTTTGTTTCTTGAACCACATTTATGCTGTGATCGTCATAATTCGTCGGCCACCCTTCCAAGATTTCGTCGGCAGACTCCACTGCCGCTGTTATCTTCGCAATCAGCCTCTTCCGCATGTCTGATCTTGGAATATGATTTCCCTTAATCTGTCCGTCCGGTTCATGTGGCAGAGAGGGCATCCGTTCCGGAGAAGGTCTATGAGTCAAGTGCCGTATGGGTACCATTGAACCTTCTCTCGTCCCCGTCCTCAAGAAATCTTCTCCGCGACTGAACACCAAAGAGCACTGATACTCTGTCATCGATTGTAATCCTAGGACCATCTCGGCTTTCAGTTTCGGGACCACAAGCGCTTCGATTTCTTCGGCAATGTCGCCCAACTTGAAGCGAGTTCTGACAACTCCGTCGACCGTTATTATTTGTCCGTCTGCTGTCTCCAGTCGACCTACGTAGCGTTCCATCGTCGGTGCGTCAACAATTCTCCGCGCAGCATCTACCCTTATGAGGTCGGTGGTGGCTCCGGTATCAAGCAGCACCTCAACATGGGTTCTGCCTACGCAAGCATTAACGACTGCTCCGCGTGGATCGCTGATATCATGATTAATCCCAACACGCTCGATGCGCATCCGCGATTTCTGTTTCGTTTCCAACTTTGGCTCTTTCTCTCTCTCTCTCTCTCTCTCTCTGATCCTTGGTAGTCGCTCCAATAGCGATAGAACTTGTTCCTGCTCCAGTATCTTCTCGCTCTGCCCTTCTCCATTATTATTTGTGTTCGTATCGTAATGCGCGCAAAACTGAGTTCCTGTAGCTTGCGTTCGCCTTTCCGCCTGCTGTTTCTTAAATTCGGCCGGGAAAAATCCTCCTTCGAACTCGCCTACTGTCCCGACCCTTGGTAGTTTGAATCGTTCGCGCTTCTTTGTGGACATCTTTTTGTAATGTGGCCCACCTGTCCACAATTAAAACAACCACCCTGGGTCCATGGGTTGTTTCCACTCTGTCGCCCAATTGGGTTCGCAGAGTCGCGTTGCTGATTCTCTCCCCGTCGAGTGTAGCTCTCTGGCTTGGGGTTACAAGGATCAATGAACCTACCTATCATTGTCTTTAAGTTCTGCATCTGGGCCATCATTTGAGCCACCAGATCGTTCTGGCGTGATTCCCGCATCTGCATCTGCAACCTCACCTCATCATACATCGAACTCTGGACATCAATCTGCTTCGCCAGGTTGTTCTGAGCCTTCATCGTTTGGTCCAGCCTCTGGTCAGTGTGCGTCTGCAATCTCGCCAGCTCCGTCCGTAACTGTTTAGTCTCGGCAGTCAGCGTACTGTCTCCGCCAGCCTCAGTCGTCATGTCATGAACATCGTGCACCGACCGAACGTGATTTGGCCGTCTCCGAATCTTCATCCTGACTGTTTTGCGTGCCATATCTAGATCCTGTGCTCGGGCATCCGCCTAGTTGATATTCTCGAGGTCTTCTCGCAGAAGCAATTCCTGAAGCTCAAAATCACACAATCCATCAGTGAACTGTTCGCGGTTCATGTCGTCTCGGGCTTGGGTTCCCAGGTTTGTATTTGCAACTTCACCCAAGGATCGTACTCGTCTTGCAAAATCTGTCAAGCCCTCGCCTTCCTCCTGCAGGAGGTTCTTGAATTCAGCCCTCGCAGCTGATCGTGTCTGGAATGGCATCATCCTCTGATCGAGTTCCGCGAGCATTCTGCCTAGCGTCGGTTCCTCGAGCCCGTCAACTTCCTCTCGAAAGTGAGCAGGCATACTTGTGAAATCATCCAATGCCCAGCCTGTCAGGCAAGTAGGCAGCCCCATTCTGGCCTGCTCATCGTCCCATCGATTGGCGTCTGCTATCCAGGCAAAGTGTTTCATCCAGTCTCGCCAGTTCTGATAACTGCTCGAGGGAAACCGATCTGGTCGTATCGTACCAAATCCGAACACTCCCTGTTGTCGATCGAGAGCATTGGCTGCTGCCTCTGCAGCCTCTGCAATCAGCTGTCTGGCTTGATCATTCATCGCCATCGCAATTATTTCGTGGATCTTTCGTTCGTTCTTCTCGTCCTTGTAATCCCGCACAAATCGTCGTTGGAGCTACAATCCAGAATAGCGCCCACCCAGGAGCGCCAATGTAAACGTGGGGGAATTCACAAAATCTCTAGGCCGGTCTTGCTCGCTATTTCACACCGCCACAATATGTTCCCTTTGGTACTGAGGTCAGCGGGGCAACCGATTCCCAGTACTGTTCACAATACCAAAAGGGTTGATTTGGTGGTTGGCTGCTCTGTACTGTACTGTGCTGCTCGCCCCGTGATTCGTGCTTTTCCGACTGTATCTCACCCGTCAATAAATAATCGATCACAACAACAATTCCAATAATAAAAATAAACTAACAAATGAATATTACCAAGTACAGAGTAGCCTATAATTGGCTGAAAAACAAATTAATCATTCAAATATAGAAAGGGGTTCGCGGTTACTATTATTTAAACCAACTGCCTCCTGCAGTTCAATTAACACCTCACTACAATTTAACGTCCTCCTCGAGAAATTCTTTCAATAACAATCGTCCAACAACGATTCCGCTATCCTCTAGATAGCCTAACTAACATTCACTAACTAATCTACATTCACATTAACAAGTCTTGCAACTCGTTCTCTAACTAACTGAGAACAAACTATTCGATTCGCTCGCAATAATTCTTCTCTGACGAGAACCAACTACTCTCAATGGTAGCGCACGACTGTTCTGAGTCTTAAAGGCTCTCAGGTACCCTCCAATTCCTTATCTTTCTTTACACTTAGTTTTAGTTAAGCCACGCCATTCCCTATCAGTCCTGACATCCGCCTAAATCATCCGTCCGCACATGTTTAAGACTATATCCCTCCCCCTGTCAACTCTGCCATGTGCCAACTTCGGTTTCTTTTATGTATTTTTTGCATTCTTATTAGATATGCGGTATGCAGTAGCTGTTACAATTTGACCAAGCAAACATATGTCATAGGATTCTAATCAACTAATTCTTGATCTCTGTGAACTTCAGCCCTCGAGTTCAACTCAACCTCCAAACCATGCTATGTTTACTCAGTCTTTATTCCCAAGGTCTTTGTTTTAATTATCCCGTTAACGTTTCGATCTCCCAAGGGTAGGGGGAGACCCTTTTTGTGGGTAGCTAACTAATTTCAGGCATCTTAATTTTCTATCTGTACTCTATTCCAATCCCGACCTTCTAGCTATCAGGGGGACGTAGTTTGTCTGTTCGGGGTCAAATTAAACAAAAAGGTCACCTCCGGAGAGCCAAGTAAATTTCCCGTTCATTCATACAATTTAGGAAACTTAACTCTCATGCTACGATCCTATTACTATCAATTTCCTCTGAGACTACTTTTCTTTGGTCTAGTTGAATTGCTATTAATAGATCATTCGCCAAGTTAAACTGAACCCAGTGTTTAGCAAGTTCACTTCGAATTAAATCCTCTACTCCAAAGTTGCAATGTAAAACTATATCTCGATCGGCTTCTGCTCTACTTCCTGATATTTAAGTTTCCCTCCAACTTTTTAGCAAGATGACCCATTCTCATTTCCAGGAGTTGGGCTGGGGAATACGCCAATTTCCGGTGTTAATCCCGAGGTTTTCTATACAAATTTGATCCTAAACGCCCAAAGGTCAACTTAAGGTCAGCCAGGGGTCAACCGGTGTCAAACTTCCATATTTGGGTTCATAATCCCATGGGGGTCCTAATTACAAAGCTTCATTCATATCCCATTAATACTTCACAAGTTATACTATTTCAAGGGTCCATTATCACTTTTCCCGGGAAAAGGCTATTAACACCGGAAGGAGTCGTCGGAGGGGTTTCAATCAGTAGGGAACTTTTTTGGGACGAGCTGTAGTATCTGATGCCGCCATAAAATTGATTTGCCCTCGCTCATTATTTTGCGTAAATTGCCTACTTCTGGTCTAAGGGGGTGTTTTTCCAAGTGGTAATAGCTTCCAGTCCAACCGCCGGATTTGGTTCAAATTATAATACAAGAGGTATCTTGCCACTACCTATCATCCCTCCAAGTTTCAGCTCCCTGCGATCATTGGAGGCCGAGAAACGATTTCCGGAAGTTAGGGGTGGGTTTGTTTACTTTGGGCATAAAACGGGAAGTGGGGGGTCTGAGGGGTCTGTGTTCCCAAACTTAAGCTCCCCTTAACTAGGCCTACAAAATACTAGAATTTGAGTCTATTCCAACCGCTAGTTTCCGAGTTCTGATAGGGCCATTTACACTTCCGGGGACTGTTATCACTTGCCCCCCAAGGGTCTGAGGGGTCCCGTTTTTTGTATGCCCGGGTCAAATCATCTCTAGTATCGCTCCTCTGAATTTCATAACATTAGCTTTCCTAGTTTCGATTTGGGGAGGGTTTCGCCGATTTTGTCAAATTTTGTTTTCTGGCATAGAAGGGACGATATCTTCGAAGATTGAACTATTTCGAACTTTACCCTTTGTTTGCTCTACTGCTTAACTTAATGACGAATCAATCTTAAGCTCAGGTTACTATAGCATGTAAAACAGTAGAATCACCAATTCTACACCTTGTCCTCCATATTTTTTTGGCCCTTTTTCAGGTTTAAGCCCCCTTTTAGGCCATATTCACCTTCTCCTGTGAGGGCTGGTTATAGGCGTAATGTCCAACCATTTTAATTCCCCCAGTTTATCCTATCCCCTGCCCCACGTTAACCACCTCCCACTCTTCGGTAAAATATTGGGGAGTGGGTGGTAAATTAGAGGAGGGGATGAGGAAGGGCGAAGGGTGAATGTGTGTGTGTGTAACCAGGGATAAGGATAGGGTTGTGGGGGTTGTGAGGGTTGTGGGGGTTGTGAAAGTTAGGGGAGAGGGGGAAGGATTGCACACGGGGATGAACTTGTTCGCTTGGGTTCTAGTTTTGCAGAACGCTGCAAAAATAGAGTAAACGTTTCACATTTGCAAAAATAATCATTTTTTCATGGTTATTAAAATTTAAAAAAATGGTTCATACATATCGAAGCAAAAACAATTGATCTTAATTGATTTTAATGGAATATAATGGATTTTGGTGCCCCCCCTCAAAATTAGTACATATTTGCGCCGAAGGCGCCTTTAGAAAACTTTTAAGGTCTGTCACCAAAAATGGATATCTCAAAATAGTTCAAAAGCGGGACTATTTTGAAAAATGCGTCCGCCCCCCCCCCCCCTAAGTCCGCCCTTGCTAAAACTTGAACTAATTTTTATTTGTGGGCAAGAAACTTTTGAACTCTTTGTGCTTTTGAGGGAGAATAGGAGATTTTAAATTCCAATTTTCATTTCAGTTGTTCTGTTTACGAAGATTCTCAGGCAATCATAAACTCTAACTGACAATCTTCGATGGAATGACCAAAATTTTCCTTGAAAACAAACTTTTCCCTTTTTTGATTGGCTAATTCGTCTTGAATTGTTTCACCAATCCTATGTCAAAGTTGCAGCCGTGAATCAGAAAAAAAACAGAGAAAATGACAAAAACTTGGGAAAAAATCTTCTTTTCATTGGTTGAAAACTCAAGTTTCAAGTTTTGGCCCTCGATAGTTCAAACATGTCAAACGCAACGTACCTTGCTCTCTTTCAATTCCACAGCAGTCGAACTTGAGTTGGAGGAAGTTCCAGGCGATGGAGTCTGCCCCAGTTGAGTTCTCCCCTTTGTAGTGTTCCATTGATGAGTCCATCTGGTCAGACAAGAAAGATTCAACTTCTGAGCTGTAGGCCAAATAGTAGCTGGCCACTGCGACTAGAACAGAACGTAATGAAAGAAATATGTCAAAATATGGGTATTTTAGAAAGTGGAAACTGATTGAATATTTTTTTAAACATATTTTTCAGAATTTATAGCGTTGAAGAACATTTTAAGGACAAAATTTTTACATTTAGTTCAATTACATTCCAGATTAGTGCTGCTTCAATATTGTTTCAATAAAATCGCATTACTACATCAGACTGCTTACAGTGCTGCCATAGCTCATAAAAAACAGATATAAAGTTTGCAGTACTGCAACGAAACTGAGAAATCACTGGAAGAGTGCTAATTTTTTCAACATTTTTGGAACACTGCTGATACCACTCTTACGTTTCCTCTCCGCCATAATCTTAGAAAATGGTGCAGATATTTAAGAAACTTGTAAGTACATCAGAGATTACAATTGATAGCGAAAAGCAAAACTTCTAGATAAAAAATTTATCCGACGTGTTGCAGGATTTACAAAATGATATAGTTTTCACGGTTTTTCAGCTTGTGAAAAGTTCATTCCACGACGATTAAAACTGTTTAATTTTGCAAGAAATGATTCCTTACTAGTTAATCAAATGAAAAAGTAACTTTTACTTTTTTAACTCTTATAACTTTACTTAATTTACTTTTACAATAATTGGAATACCTCGTATAACCTCGACTGCCTCCTTGCAACAAAATTTGTCTTCCAATTTGTTTTTTTTTAGTAAAAAACATGCACCAATTTTTAAAAGGTTTTAGAAATTCTGATCATGGTTTAAATGAAGATCGTGAAAGCAAAGTTCTATTGCGTTTTTTGTTATCTGATAGACGGAGAAGGTTTTAGAAGAAAACGACAGATTCACCATAATTGATTGTTCTGGTTAAACAGAGTACACAAAACTGTAGTGATAAGATGTATTTCAGAGAAAAACTTAGAAGAAATTTTTTAAGAACCAACATTTTTTGTCATTTTTTTCTTCATTTGAATCCTTAACTTCGCGTTTTTTAAAACCCTTTACGGACTTGCTCGATGACGAGATGAAATTTTTTCATTAGAAATTGAACCAGAAAACAGGTTAAAATGAGTTCCATTGATTTTGTCAAATCATTCGGAACTGCATTCATAGGGTGAGTCAGGGCACATCTACTTCATTTTTTTCCAGATGACTAATTGAGATGAAGCAAAGCATTTCTGTGGAATTTTTTTTACAAATCTGATTCAAATCTTCACGCACAGATGCGAGCTTCACAAATAATCAAGACATTGCTGAAAGTTCCATCAACTAAATTAAGCTATTTAAGCTATGGAAAAGGCGCGACGAAAGCCTGTAAAGCAAAAGCAAAAATAACATCATTTAGGTTTAGGTTATTAAAAATATTCGGTTATCATCAAGTAATGGACTTTTTGGCGCTCAGCTGACGATCATTAGTTGACAATTTTTGGCATCAGTGCATTAATCGAGTTTTGCTGGCCTTATATTTAGGCTCGTATGGGTTCAATTCACTTTTACTCATCTCCTTTTCTCTTTAATAGAAGAAACGCAATTGTTAAAAAAAACTGTTTAAAATGAGAGATGTGGTGTAAACCAGTTTCAGTAATTCTGATCTTGCCTAATTTTAGGAAGATAAAGACTATGATGAGTTTACCTGCAAACCTTAAAGTATTTTGGATTAAAATGTCTGGGATGATAGGAGGATAATTTTGGCTGGTCACGCTGAACTGGGATGCTCAATTATAAAAAGGCAAATAATAAAATTTAAAAAAATGTTCCACAACATATATAACATTTTATCGTTTTTTATAAATTCCTTTAAGATATGCAGATCATATTCTAATAAATCGCTATTGGACACAATTTTTCTGTTTTCAGTCGTCTGGCGTCTTAAACTTAAATCTAACCAATTTTAAGTTTTTTTTTTCAGTTTCAATTTTTATACACAAATTCAATTTTCCACTCCGACTTGTATGATAATTTACCGAATAGATTATTCTTTATAAATATATATAAAGGGGCGGATTGAGGGGGGGCGGACATGCTCCTTCCCCCCCCCCCCTCCTCAGGGATTCGACCCCTGCCGACCCAAAGGTTGTCGACCCTATCTTAGATGTAAGACCCTAAGTTTTTGTAAGATTTGTAGGAAATTTGAGCCATCTTACAACTTTTAAAAAAGGTTCTAAGATTACATTTTTTTTCCACATTTCGAAAATTAATTAATAATACTAATTAATAATCTAAGACAAGTGTGAATGTTTTTCTATATCGTAATAACAGATAAAAATCAATTTTGGAAACTTTTAGTTTTTTTTCAAACTTACGCATATCAAAAGTTTTAGATAGTGGTTCTAATGAATGCGGTTCGAATTAAAAAATCCGAAACAATTAATTTTATTTTTTTTCAATGGATCTTTTAATTTTAGAAAATTAGCGGTTGAAAGCTACTTTGGAGGCGATAAAAATTCAATTTTGGTGAAGCATGTAATATAGCTGCGGACGTGTTGTATGTGGGGTTCAGATATATATCGACAAAATATCTAGGTATCAGTAAAAACAAACCTTATAAAATTAGTGGGTTCTGCTTCTGTAATTGTACTCTGAGTCGGTGGAAAAATTTAAACTGGTTACAAAATTTTTTTTTGAAAATAAACAAGCAAAAAAATGCAAAATTTTGGAATCTTAATTTTTCTCATAAAAAAGTCCCTTCCTTCTAACATTCTTAGAGCCTAGTTTTGCGAGCAATTCTAAGATTCTTATTAGAAAAGCTCAAAGATAGCGACTTTTGGTCAACCAGGGGTGATTGCATTAAAAATTTCTTTAAGTTTTTAGTGTTTATCGAAAAGCGGCCAAAGAGCTCCGCATGGTCTTAAATTGATGACAAATAACTTTGAACGTTTTTTTTTTGCTTTTAAACATTTATGGCTACTACACTAGTCAAATCGTTGATAATTTAAAATAATTCCTGATATTTTTTTGTCAACTTTAGTTCTTTTGTCAAAAGACACATACTTACATTCAATTACAGTAAGAATTGTCAGGAAAAAGGCAAATAGCTTCAAAGAGCATCCCGACTGTCTCAGGGCACCACACAGACCCAAACATGACGTCAGCAGAAGGACCCCGAAAGTAGACAGGACAAAAATGCCCAAATTTGAAGTAGTCTTCAGCAAAATTATAGCAGATATGTTTTTAGCACAACTTTTTATTTAATACGCAGAAAAGTTTTGAAAACTCTGTTCGTCCGATAGAACTCAACTTTGAAACAATTGATTGCCGCATTTTGACAAACATCGTTTTATTTAAGTATCGAATTCAATTTTAATGTTTTTAAAGCTTTTCGTTGTTTGAATTTTTCGATAGTCACCGTCAAATATATCTGCTTAATTTTGACCTGAGAGTTTATAATTTCAGACAATTCATCTATGTTGTAGGCGAATAGCAGAACACAAATGAGGCCGATTATTCCGAGCGTCATCAACATAACAATAATAGTGAAGATTATTATAATAGTTCGCGATAATCGGAGGTGTTTTCCGGATAAATTTGTGGGGTCAACTTTGGTTCCCATTTCTGTGTAATTATATTGTTTATTACTTTAATAGCTAAAAATGACACCTTTGTGGCCAAAAAGGTGACAAACTCGGAAAAAATAATGATTACCAAACCCTTAAAATAAGTTTTTACTCATAAATAAATCATAGAAAAGCTGAAGCGTGATGTTTTATAACCGCAACAAACGCAAATGCCGGAATTAATAAATAAATTTAGCTTGTGTTTTTTTTCAATAAAAAAAATAAACATGGATACACGGTAACTCGCCAAATTTAAACTACATAGATGGTTAAAGCTTCCATTTCTATTTTTTTTCTTATAATAGAGGCTAAATTGTTTGCCTAGATAATAAAATGCTCAAAATAAACATAACAAAATGCGGTGGATTTGCGGAGTATGTTATTTCCTGTGTTTCGATTGAAAAGGATTAGTGTGCCTGTTTGAACGTTGGAGGTTTGACTATGCGTTGTAAAAAACGCATTCTCATATTTGTCTACAATTTATATTTAAAAAATTGGGCATGCCATCAAGTAACAGGATTTAAAATTTTAAAATGTGTTATACTTTATATGCCGTTCGCCTTCTAAAAGATGTTTTATAGGTATATAAGAAGTATACAAGAAAAATACAAGAGGTATACAGATTTTTTGCCTAAGGGTGGAGATTAGGAGCAGTTTTTGGACAATTTTGTCATCTTTTACTAAATTCAGCTAACTAAATTCAGCTTTTACTAAATTCTAGCTCTATTTTTTTCTAGCTCTATCGAAGTGTAGAAGACCTATTTAATCATATTCGCAGTGTTTGGTTGAGGTTTGGCTTAGATTTTTTTACTGTGAAAATTCCAACGATAATCCCAAACTTATTTTCTGCTTTTCAACTTTATTTTTAGACTTTATTTTTATTTTTATTGGTCTCAGTCTTTTTTGAAGTTCCTCATTTGTGTTAACGTGCACAACCACTCTCTAAAACTAAAAAATTTGACATCTATGCAGAAAAATTGTTCCGAAGGAGGAACTCTGCCTTCGGGTGTTTTCTTAGGTTTTTTGAACTTTTTTATTTTCACGCAAAATCCAAAAATAAATAATGGGCTAAAGGGATCGAGTGATTTGTCATATGAAAAACTTTATTGTGTTAATTGTATCAAATTTTGATCAAATAAAAATCCGAGCAGGTCTATCACACGGAAATAACACGTACATACTAAATTTCTTTCAGGAGTTTTAATTTTTGAAGCTTACAATAACGCCTTTGTGACAACAAAAAACTTGTGAACTGCTCAAAAAGAAAACCGACAAAAGATAGAAACAAAGGAAAAAAAAAGTTTTTGATAAAATCTGTTATCAAATATGCGTATTTCACTTTTACTCTCAAGTGTGACTGTTGCTAGGCTTTTGTTCAGAGCCGCCCCGTAGTCGAAGGAACAAAAAACATCGCATTTTGCCGGAAAAAAATCGTTTTGTGAAGTTTTTTGTTATGTTGTTGTCGGAAATATCTGTGCTACTTGCACAACAACCGACTATCCTTGTTACTTCTGGCTTAGTCCAAAGACCATAATTTTATCATGTTTTCATTTAATTTGTGGTTTAGGTCTTCTCAGAGGGTCACCTGGAAGAGACGGGGCTCCGGGACCCCCTGGACCACAAGGTCAGCTGAAATCTCCTACTTCGAACTATTACAGTGCTGGTTTAAATTATCCGGACAAAACCAAGCAAAACTTGAAAAATCAAACGCGTTTTTCTCGATATTAGTTAAAATAAAACAAAAAGTTTTACCCTAAAAGTGGGTCATTTTTGCTTTTTAAAAATTAATTAAAAATTACGCTGAAACTATCGAGTTAATTGATAAAAAAGTTTACATCAAACGAAGCCTCTTATACATTCCAATACAATTCTTAAAGTCTATAATTTCAAAAATTTGCAATTGGTTTTTGAACGAAGACCAAAAACATATCATTTCATAGAGATTTGTAGAATTTGAATCCTTCTGGAGAGTAGGTGGCTGAAGAGGCTTTTTTTAAATATAAAAAACTGCACTATACTATTTCTGGTGAAACTCTTTGCAATTTTTTTTCTTCACATTTTATCTAATTTTAATCCAATTGGAGAAAACGCGTTTGAATTTTCGAATGTTGTTTGCTGTGTTTGTTTAATTTAAATCAGCACATGACTTAGAATTTTAAAAAAATCGAACGAAATCTTTTGAGAAATAATTAAATAAACTAGCAGTTTTTTGCTTACAAAAAACAGTAAATAGATTGTTTTTCAATCTCCAAATTGAAATATTCTATTTGGCACGCTGACTAAGAAGGCTTTGCAAGTATTTAATACTTTCTTACATAACTTTCTCACAGAACCTTAATACATAAAATCACCCTTTACCCTTAAAAATGATTACTTAAATCTTTGTTATGTGTCATCAGGGTAGGGGGTTAAATAACATAATGTTAAAAATTGAATTCGAATCTTTTGTACTTCAGTATAACAGTTGGTTTTTGTTTCAGGCGAACGTGGACCTCAGGTATTATTTAAAACCATTATTATTGTTACCATCAATATTAATGTTCAAAAATTGCGCAAATCAGCAGATATCGAAAAATCGCCTGGAAATTGAGCCGTGTACTGTTTAGGGGCCACGTGGTTTTCCAGGACTAAGAGGCGAAAAGGGAGAACAAGGAGAAAAGGCAAGTTTTTTTAAAAAAAATTAACGAATTCTGTGAGATACATTTCAAAAAATTTCTGACGAAATGCTTGACAACAACAGCGTTATCTGACAAATTTTTTATTAAAGGGCAGTTTTGTGATATAATTATTAGGGCGACCTCAGAATTAAAAACGTTGTAATTATGTCGAGAAAAACTATTCAATTTTTTTTGCGTTACTTGATTCAACCTAGATAAACCCTAATAATTAGATTGAACTATGGACTAGGTGTTTATTTTTTCAAACAAAATCCTGTCATTAAAGAACCCGTGTAGAGATTTGAGTGCAGTATCATCCTGGGTAGCGCGACAATTCGTAACAAGCGAAAATTCGATTTCGGAACGAGGGACAATGCGTGTTACAAGCGACATGTCGTAACAAGCAACAACAACGCATTGGTATATAGAATATGCTTGCCCCGCTGCGCTTACGTCCGCGTGAATTACCCGCTTAACATACAGTTACGAATTGTCGCTTGTTACGGATTGTCGCCTGTTAGTAATTATGACCTGTCACGAATTGTCGCCTCTCGATAATCCTGATTCCCTTTCTGTTAAAAATCGGATTCGAAATATTTGATCTGTAAGGCCCAAAACTCTTCTGAATGTTTCTTTGGTTTATCAGACATAATTACATAAAAAGTAATTTGCAATTTTCGTTCTTAGTTTGTTTTCTCAACTATTCAATTTTAAGTGTTTTGGAGAGCCCATCGTTTATTTTTTGCAGTTCCTAGAAAAAATCAAAAGAGAGTTTTTAAAGCTATAATTGTTAGCTATTTTTTGTTTTTTAAACCAGTAGCAGAGCAGTCTTTTCAGTTTTATCCAATTCTTCTAGCCATATATTTTTTCAAAAATCAATCAGTCAAAATGATTTGAAATAGCTCCAAATAGTTACAGAAGTAAAATCACCACAACAAAAATTTGTTACTCGGAAACTTTAAATACATTCAACATTTCTTCGCAGTTTTTCCTCAATTAAAAAAAATGATTTTAATTTCATGAAAAATTATCAAATTTTTGCGGTTCGAATATTTCAGTATTACATTCGGAAATTTTTTTTTTAAACAAAAGGAAAATTGGCTCGGTGTACAAACAGACAACTCAAGTGGAAAGTTTTTTTTGATCATTCTAAGTAAATGTTTGAATTCCGAAAAAATACTTCAAAAGTTTTCATTTTCCGGAAAAAATGTCTTTCATGATTTTGCATTCTAGGCTGGTTTCTAGAAAAAATAACAGGAAATGTAAATGATATCAAAAACGAATAGAAAAACAAAAACCTTTTTTTTGGCAAGTGGTGACTTTTTTGCAACTCATCGTTTTTTATGAAAAACCATTCATGTTATCATTGTGCGTGACAATGGCATGAACGAGGAAATTAAGTTATAAATTTACAAAAGTCGTAGACATAATATTCAAAGCAACTTAAGAACTTATTCCTTTATATGAAACTTTTCCTTAACGAGCCCGGCGACTTGTATTTTCTCCATTGGTTTAGTACTGACCAATTATAGAATATTTGACATGAAAACTTCTTCGTGCTTTATTATATATAATAAACAGAACCTGTACTTTTTGGCCTCTTTAAAAAGAAGTGTTTGTGGCAGCTATCTAATTTCCGGCAAACTTTGTTTCGTTTCGCCGCTCAAGAAAGAATGTTTTGTTTATTTGTTTCACCTGAATTAACTAATAATTATTGTTCCGACTTTCGAAGAAAACGGAATATATATGCTCGGTGTGTTTTTTTATCCAGTCAATTTTCCTCGATCGAAATCATAATTTTCGGAAATTTTTATATCCCATTGGGGACATTGAGTTCATGAGTTCAAATATAAAAGATATTTTACCTCGGATAATTTTTTTGTAAAGTTCTGGGGGTTTAAAGAAATTATTCATTCTGCTGAGAGCGTAAATGCGAATTATTTATGCGTGGCGACTTATCGCGCACAACAAAATTGTTTTAAATTGAATTGAGGCTATCTAATTAATTTTGTACGACTCAAAAATTTACACTTTGATTTTGTCCAAAAATTACGTATTTCCAATAATTTTCTCTCAAAAACTATTCGATATGAATTAGGGGACATCATAACATTCAGGGCTTTGCCCTGATATACGAGCAGTCTTGTTTCACATATATAATTGTTCCGACTTTCGTAACGAAAGTAACGGAATATTTGTGCTCGGGTGGGTTTTATTTTCTTCAGACAAATTTATACTTTTTAACTCGCCATTTACTAAGTTTTTTTAATCATTCGAAAGCTATTACTGTCCTGAGCTTAAATTTGAAAAAAAATATTCGACCTGTGATTATTTTTTGTAAAGTTATGGGGGTTTAAAGATTGCCATTTTGGCCAATTTGGGACCTTAAAGCGCGATATAGTTCGCGCTATTAACGCGTAAGCTAGATTTAATTCGTCTCAGAAATTGTTCCAAATTGGTTCAAGGAAGCTTATATGCCATAATTGATTTATTAATAGGAGCAAAGTTTATCACTTTGTATTTAATATGACGTGTGGGGGAATGTTTTTTCCTAAAAAATCTCAAATTTTTTTTACAATCTTTTAAATATTATTTTATAACATTTAAACTTTCAAT